TAGTAGTAGTAGTAGCAGTAGCAGTAGTAGTAGTAGTAGTAGTAGTAGTAGTCGTAGTAGTAGTCGTAGTCGTAGTCGTAGTCGTAGTCGTAGTCGTAGTCGTAGTCGTAGTCGTAGTCGTAGTTGTAGTCGTAGTCGTAGTCGTAGTCGTAGTAGTAGTAGTAGTAGTAGTAGTAGTAGTAGTAGTCGTAGTAGTAGTAGTAGTAGTAGTAGTAGTAGTGCCCTTTGCAGTTTTGGGAACCAACGCCCTTAAATTTATTGCATGGCGGCTCAGGTTGATCGTCTGAGCGACATCTCTTGCGATTGATCTACGGCGTGACACCAGCCCGTGCCTGAGCAGCGATTAAGGCCGGGTGAAAAAAATCGGATCGGGGCACAGAGTCAGCCGGCGGCAGCTGCCGTCCCCCGTAGCTTCAAAGCAAAAATCCAAGTGAGCCTCGAAAGTGCAATGCACAAAGGTGTCCAAGAGGAGCTCACTGGAGATCGCACGCATCGTCCGGCCGTTTCGACAACTTCTCCAGTGACAGCTTGAAAGGGTGCGCTCTGGTTTCTGGAATTCTTCTGCGGTGTATCAAGCAGAGATCAGCCTCGACTGACTTGACGCTGCATGGCTCCAGAGAGGCCATGATTGCGCAAGGCGTTTCAGAGACAAGCCTGCCTCCAGATCTGCTCAAACTGCATCAAAAGACTACTTGCATCTCAAATCCTACCATCTCCTAGAAACGTCCTCAGCAGGAATGCCCAAAGCCAGAAGCCCAGGTCTTCTGCAACCTTCCCCCTGAAAAAAAAGAGATCTCCCTCCCTAAACCCTAAACCCTAAACCCTAAACCCTAAACCCTAAACCCTCCCTTCAGGGGCGCCTCAGCCTCCTCTGCTTGTCCATGAGCCGGGCCTGGTCAGACCTGGGCCCGAGACCTGGGAGCTTCGGCGCTCTTCAGAACTCCGACACCCCGGGTTTTTGGGCTCAGGGATGATCAGGGTTTGGGGTTTTTGGGGCTTAGGGCTTAGGGCTTAGGGTTCAGGGTTTAGGGTTTAGGGTTTAGGGTTTAGGGCTTGGGGCTTGGGTTTAGGACTTTGGGTTTAGGGTTTGGGGTTTTGGGCTTGGGGCTCAGGGCTTAGGGCTTAGGCTTTAAGGCTTAGGACTTAGGGCTTAGGGCTTTGGGCTTAGGGTTTAGGGCCTAGGGCTTAGGGCTTAGGGTTTAGGGCTTAGGGTTTAGGGTTTAGGCTTTAGGGCTTAGGGATCCTTAGGCCTTGGGCAGACCTGGGCTCCGACCTTGCATGAGGATCCGATCGAGACTGCGCTGGCGATGCCGCGCCATCTCGACACGAGCCTGCCGCTTCATGCCGCAGCACATATTAATATAACTTCATATAACGGTACATTTTTTGGTGGTCCGTGACACCAAAAGAGGAAGCAAGGCGAAAGAAGCTCTGTGCAAATCTCTTCAGGCCTTTGCCGTCCGAACGGCCGTTTTGGCCCACCACCGAGTCTCGGACCTCGGGTGGTTCTTGTCCTACCGATCCTGGCTTCTGAAACCTCCCACAGGCTCCCGCATCTGACTTCTGGCAGCGACCAGGGCCTGAAAGCCCAAGTAGCAAGGAATGGAAGCAACGCGAAAACGTCGAAAGCTGCCTCGATTTCATCCTGGCACTGGCCGGTCAGCTGCCGTCCAACTGGATCCTGGGTTTCCACAGCACAGCTGAAAACGGAAAGAAGCCCTCGGCGCCCCGTCCCGGCTCGGAGCTTCCGAGGCAGCTGCCAGCATGAGCCGCACTGCGAAGCCCCTCGCATGGCGCTGGATGCAAGCAGCGGCCTTGTGGCAACCTCGCAGAGCACAGCTCTGGTCCCCTCTCCCCGGCTGCCCGGCTCTCCCCGGCTCGGTGATCCGAGGCATGGGCGCTTGATCCACTTCCGGTGCACTGAGCTGTGCCATGCCTGGGTCCCCCCCACATGGCCCCCCTTCTTTTCCTTTTCAGGAGCCTTCTTCTGCCACGGCTGAGGCTGGAGCTCTCTGAATTCGGAGTACGGAGTTGAGGAGCTTGGAAGCTCGGAGATTCCATTTCCACGCCTGTGGCACATGAGGCACCTCACGTCTCGCCTGCGCCTCGCATGCTGCGTGCGCTTCAGATCCATCCTTGTAGTTCCGGAGAATCTTGCATGCAGCGTCGTCCTTGCGCATTATGCCCAAGGCCTCGGGAGTTTCAGATGGGCTGCATTCTGCGAGAAACTGCGGTCGCTGTGGCTTCGCTGCGCATGTTTGGATGCTTTGTGCCCAACGGCGCGAAGTCCACGCCAATGCCGTTGAATTCGCATCTGAGAGAAGGAACCATGCAATCCAGGACGGGGTCGATGCACCAGCATTGCAGGTCTCAGTGACACGCCGCAGGTGCAATAGCATTCTGCTTCTGCCCCCGCAACTTGATGTAACGGTATCGCCTCAAGCCGAAAAGAATCGAAAGAGTTCTTGCAGCATCACGGGCAAGTGTCCCCTCACGCAAGGCCCGCGCTGCTGGATGGACACAGCAGCCCGGTGATACAGTAAACCTCAACGGCAAAACAACGGTGTCCACTGCCTGTGTATGGCACGAGCTGGGCCAGGCACGAAGATGCAGCCCTCTGAGGACCATGTGCAGTAGCACGACTGCAAGCCTTCATTCCCGAGAAAAGCAGTGCCCATTCTCCCAAAGAGGTGTTTGAGGCCCCCGACACGAAGGAGCAATGATCGTGCATCGCTCGGTCGGCCATCTCAAACAATTTGTCCGTGACCTTGGCCCCAGCCGTGCAGCTTGACAAGCTACCAAGGCAGAGTGTTCTCGTTATCCTACAGCATCGCCACCAGCATGCTCAGCTCCGAGCGGAGACGAAGCGGTTTGCACGCATACCTGGGACTACAACACAAGCTCGATGGAGGTGCTTTACAAGGGGCCTGCTGACGAGGGAAGTCTCTCAAAAGGCTGAGCAGCCAGAAACCTACGACAGAACTGGAAAGATCCCAAAGCCCGAAAGCCCTCTCCCCACCCCAATTCCGTGAAAAGTAACAGAGGTCCCTTTCGGCTCTCTCTTTTTTTTCTGGCTTCCGGCCTGCTCCAGCTTTCGGGGATGCCGGATCCGAGGAGCCTGGCCGTGGGCTTCACTTCTAGTCGATACTAGAGAGTATGTAGCATGTAGCATAAATATGATATAGCATATATAGAGTAGATAATAAAGTACATAGTAGTATAGCATATAATATGGTATATAGTGTATGGTACATCGTAGATAGCATATAATATGTAGCAGACAGGATCTCGGAGAAAGGCCACCAGAAGCTGCCTTTGGCCAGCACGCTCTGCATGGCTTCATCCTCCGGGGCACACGACTCGAAGTGTTGGCCCTCACTCCTTTCGCCCCCCCGGGTCCCAGCCCAGGCCTGACCCCGCATGAAGTATCCAACCTGTGCGTGGGGGGGGGGGGGTCTCAGCTTTATGGCTTTCGCTCTTAGGGCAACCTAGGAAAGAAACGATAAGCAGATTCTAAATTCTTGCACCGAGAGGCATCTGGCAACTTTATGGAAAATTTGCGGCAGGACATAGACTTAGGGCAACGACTGCATCACTACCACCCTGCAGTCAGTCGCACAGCCCTGCCTGCTGCAGAACCCGCATCGTGGCGGCTCGAGTGAAGTGAGACAACGCTCCACCTTCCGGCCTCCCCATCAATGTTACACTTGTAACGTGTCGCAGGTCAGGTAGACCAAAGAAGCGTCGGTGGCATTGGTGCCACAACTGGGATGCGAACAACGGTGTGGAAAAGGGCGCGGTTGGCGACCTAGCAACACAAAATCTCGTCACTGCTACTGGTCACTGCTACTGGTACAATACACAGCATTGGCCCTCCGAGACCAGAAAGACAGCCTCTGAGACCAGAAAGACAGTTGAAGCACTACGTTGCCGAAAAAAGTTGGCTGCAGCCGGCCGTCGATTTTCGTGCACAATGCAAGGCGCATCCCAGGCAATCGTTCGCGGAAGTTGACGACTCGACTAACCTCTTCACATAAACTCCAAGATCCGGACGCCCCTGGTGTGGTGGTGGCCACTGACACAGAGTCACCATCTGCACAGGGGATGTTTGCTTCTTCGGTGGGTCTATATGCTACATCTTCCCCGCAGATTTGCAGATGTCTGTTTAGGTGCGGTGCAGGAGAATAATGGTTCTGTTCCTCCAGAAACAACATCACAAAGCAACCCATCTTTGCCGACAGACCGATCCATCGTAGATTTCAGATCCCTTGAAACAGAAAATTGCATAAGCAACCGCTTGAATCACCCCGAAAAACAAAAAGCTGAATCAAGATCATCGGCTCCGACACCCTAAACCATAAACCCTAAACTCTCTACATTACTCTCCACATTACTGTAGGCCTCTGGGGATATCCAGTCCGGTCCTTCCGTTTCGCTTAACCTCAGTCGGCGAAGCTGGCAATCACAAGGCCCCCCATATTCCCCCATGGCCAGAACGGGATTTAAGGCGCTGAGGGTTTAGGGCTGAGGGTTCAGTTTTAGCCCAAACCAAACCGGAAACCTTAACCGCTCAGTGGCATCACTCCGACACTGAGGCTCCAGCGGCGCCTTTGGCCTTTGGATCTGCCTGTGTTTGAGGTCTGTTTTTAGTTGAACATCGACTACTGTACGCAAGGTCCTTCACCGGAATTAAATTGCTTGCAATGGGCCAGACTTGCTTTCGTCCCTGGTAGCAAATCAAACTGGCTCTCTTCGCCATAACAAGTCGGACTTGTTTTCAACCCTTGCAAGAAGTCGGACTTTCAGGCCGCAGCCGAGGGTGAGAGTAAGAGCTACGGGTGAGGCGCGGCGTGAAGGCCAGAGTGAGAGTGAGGGTGAGGGTTGAAGGTGAGGTGCGAGGATAAGGGGCGACAGTGGGAGTGAGAGTGAGGGGGGTATGATGAAAGTGAAAGTGAGGGTGAGGGGTGAAAGCGGGGGGGACGGTGAGGGCGGTGAAGGTGGAAGTGACGGTGAGGGGTGAGGGTGAGGGTGAGAAGTGAGGGGTGAGAGGGGTTTTGGAGAGTCCGGGCGAAATGAGTCGACCACTGGCAGATGGAAGGGGTAAGCCGGAGATTGTGCTTTCTAAACTCTTTCTGGCCAAAACGCATCCCCGACAATGGATGGCTCCGACAGGATCCTCCGTTTTCAACCTGGTTAGGCCCTCGCCTAGGGTTTCAGTCTCCATTTTTGCATTGCCCAAAGTCAAGCTGTGCATTGACAGCATCTTCGTAACCAGTCCTGCCACACTCCTCGGAAACTTGACCAGAGCTTGTCAGATCCCGGCACGCCAATACTCAAACAAAATTGGCTACACTATAGTCGTAGTTGCAGCACCTGCTGACGACGATGATCGACTAACCTCAACTTCTGACCTGGTCGTGGAGGGATTGGTGAAACCATTCCAGAAGGGTAATTCAGCGATTGGATATTGCAGGATAAAACCACAAATTGCAGGGTCTTCAAGGTACGGGCCTGTCCACCTCTACAGCATTGGTAGGGTGGTTCTCTCGCTACAACTTTTTTCGCATGCCTACCCATTGACGGTAGACTGATCTTGACTTCGGCTTGCCACACGGACCTTCTTTGAACCCCAAGCTTTTGTAAAAGTGGATTGCCCGGGTGTTGCTCTGGTGGCAGACCAGCTGCACGTCCGAAAATCTCCAGCCACGCCGCCGAGATGCATCGATAGCAGCCTGCACCAGCATCTTGCCTAGCCCGCATCCGCGGTAGGAATTCTTCATCTTGAGGTAGCAGATCCGAACTGATCTGTCGCAGAAGCGAACATGAATGTATCCACAGATGTCACGTGTACGTGCATCAACACCGCACAGAACAAAGTCCAAGGAATCCGACCGCTGCGCATCCGTCAGCAGCGCCGTCATGCGCTCTTGGGCGTCGATCTCCTCCTGTGGCACACCTATAAAGGATGCCCACTCCTCCGGGCTGCATGCAAGAATCAGCTCCGGAAACAAATCCGCATGGTTCTCGCAAAGCTCACGCTGCAGGCCACGGATCTTGGGGGCTTTCACCGGAGCCGCCTGAACCTCAAACTGGCGGTTACACTGCTCCCTCTTGCTTGAAGATCTTGCCATTGTCGCCGTGCGGCTCCGCTTCAAAAACCCAGTGGCGCAAGTAGTAGTGTCCTTTGCAGTTTTGGGAACCAACGCCCTTAAACTTCTTGTACGGTGGATCAGGTTGATCGTCCGAGCGACGTCTCTTGCGATTGATCTGCGGCGCGACACCACCCTGTGCCTCAGCAGTGAGGAAAGCGGCCCGAAAAATCGGATCGGCATACAGCATTGGCCGGCGGCCGCTGCCGTCCTCATAGTTGGGGTCTGCCCCGTAGTTCAAAAGGAGAAGCACCATCTCCAATTGGGACTCGTAAAAAGCAATACATAAAGGTGTTGTTCCGGTGCAGCTCAGCTGGTTGGGATCACACCCATTGTCCAACAACCATTTGGCTGTTTCGAGATTTTCCTCACGGACAGCTTCAAAGAGTGCGGTTTCATTTTTGGAAGTTTTGTGCGTGCAGCCCAAGGCCCGTTCAGCCAATATCATGCAAACATCGACTGACTTGCCCTTATTGGGCGGACGACCCGCCGCTGCAAACAACAGGGTCTGGCCGTCGTCGGTCCTCTGCGTGATGTTCGCCTCCTTGGCGATCTGAAAACTGCAGTTGGCCGTGCCGCAGTTCGCAGCCTCTGGAAGTCCTTCATGGCTCGAGGAAGGCCGTTCTGTCGCCCCGCTCTGGGCTGAGCCGAAGCCGGTGATTCCGAAGCAGACTGGATTTATGGATTTAGAGCTTTTTGTTAGGGACTTCGTGAAACGAAAGCCTGCTTAAGCAAGCCTGCTTAAAGCGTCCCTGCAGTGGCCTTGGACTTTGACTTGGCCTTTGCCTTGGTCGACAGAGGCTTTCCATCCTGTCGGTCGGGCAGAGTGATTCCGTGAGCTTCCCTTGGCTTCGCTGCATCGACACAAAACACGGTTGCCGAAAAAAATAGCAGGGCTGACGGTTCCAGCCGTCGGTCCTTGTCTTTTTCTCCACTGAAATCTTTCATGTGGTTGCCTCAGCATGGCATTTCTTGAGCCAATGGTGTTCGAAGTGGGAAGCTGCGAAGCGGACTCAGCACGATCGCCAGCGCTGCCACCGTTCCGTGCTGCTGTGTCCTGAGACTGAAGATGGGCACAAGCTCCTTTATCCCTTTCTTGCACTTCAATGCATTCCCTCAGCGGCTGCACAGCCCCGGGCCAATCATGGGGCAATCGGTGGTCGAGCTCGCTGCTCAAGACCTCCATCATCTGGGCCCCTGCCTGGGTTGCGAAGCAGCGAAGCCGCAAGGCCTGATCCTGACTCCTGTGTTCTGAGACCTTCTGGGCATCCATGCGGTGGCATCAAGGCCTTGAAAACGCAGATGGTCCTCTGTGGAGATCGTAGGCGATTCCTCAGCTGAGAGAGCACTGCTGACGCGGCATGAAACTCAGCGTGGCAGACAGGACTAGGTTGCTTGCCAGTGCCTGGCGCATTGTCACCAACACCTGACAGCTTTGGGATTCAACTGCATGTGGGTTCTGGCATTTCGCGAAGGATCTGCTGTTTCTGCCGCACCTCTGCCGTCAGGTAAACGTGGCGATGGCTGGCGGGGAGCGTGTTCAGCACTAAACCTAAAGGCCACAGAGTCTCTTGCACACGATGTGAGAGGACAATATCACACGTCTCTTCTCTTGGGACGGCGACATGGCAAGCTCTCCTCCGAGAGGGTGATGAGCCAGTCATGGTGGTGCTTGACCTGCTCGAGGGAAGCCCATGCTGGCAGCTCCGGCCCGGCGTAACCCTTGTATCATTCTTGTTATGATTACTATTATTGCCAGTATCTTATTCTGAGGATGCAGCCGTCCCACTGGTTTCCCAAAGAGTCGCCTCAGCATGAACCACCGAGCAGGGCAGCCGCGACAGTCGAAAGGTCTGCAAGCAGCCACGTTAGGTAAACACCTGGGCTTGTCTTGACTCCAAGAGCACGGCCAAAGAGTCTCCGGGATGCGGCGGGATCTCTTTGCCCACCGGGATGATCTGCACGGCTTAAGCTGCACTTCCAAAATGACTTCCATTGGCGCTATGATTGCCCCGACGTTCGGCCCTGGCATCCGGACTTGTCAGGATTTCCCAAGCCTCCCTGGCGATGAAGCTGCGGCTGAGCGCAAACTTGACGGCTTGATGGCCCATGGCGTAGCAGGCCTCGCAAATGGGCATATTGCAGGTGGGCTTTGGGGCCTTGGGATAGTGGGTCGAGAGAATTACTCAAGGATCGTACAGCACCACTCTGTTCAGCCCGCACTTCCTTCAGAATGCTTCAGCCTTACATACACCATACCCTACATTCTCTGACAGTGGGAAGGCATAGCAGCTGTGCCAGCATTCGTCTGGGCTGGTTTCTGCTACCTGTACGACAGTTGGTGCATCATGCTGACTTTCGCTACCACTCTTCTAATGTTCAGCACAAACTTCATTATTGATCAAACTTTTAGAAGCAGATGTGGAAGAATGGTCAAATCTCTCCGTTTGAAGCCACGACTGTCTTGCGGAGGAGAGGCTTTGGACTTTATCTCTGAGCCACCCGCCCACTCCACGGTCTGGGGGAACGTCTCTGCAGGGATCTGGTTAAGCCTCGGTATCGACCCTTTGCTTTCTCGACGTCGGAAGTTGGGATTTTGCTGGGCCCCGGAACAGATGCCGCGTGACGGAGAGCAGCATGTGGGATGCCAGATCAGGCTTATCGCCTCAGGATCACCGGGCCGCCGATGTCAGAATTGAGCACAAAGCTTGGCATTCACACGGGGCCGATAGCTCATGCTAAGACTCTGGCTGTTGTAATAGAGATGTTCATGCCCAGAGACACGCAGGCCTGCAATCCCGATCTTTGGAATGTGTGTTGGCCGAAGCACCTGCGTCAAGAGGCTCACCTCGCTTGCCAATCTCTTCGTTGGCCAGTTTGCCAGTCACCTTATCTTAAATGTTTCAAGTCCGAGCTTGGAGCAGTGATACGACCCTCCGCCCCCTGAGACTTCTCCTGCTTGCTGCTCGGGGCGTCGCGAAAAGCTTCAGGCTTCAGTCCATTTCCATAAATCCTCTAAAGGCATGAAACTAGCAGCAATGGCTTCTTCTGCTTCCTGGTCATGCGCATCTGCAACCTGCGAGCAACAACCGTACTTCTGGCTTCCGGAGACTCGTCGTTTCGACGTCGCATGGCTAAGATTGTAGTCGTGTGCTTATAACTATAAGTATACTTTATACTTGTAACATAATATATCATACTGTCTCAGATTGTATCATATTATCTCATAGTATCTCACATTACTACAGATCTTCTCATATTATATCTCATTATAATATGCCATATTGTATTACAATGACATCTCGAGGCCCCCGGCATGCACAAGGCCGATGGTTCGCTGCATCGAGGCCTGACAGGGCTGGCCAGATCTGGAGACATAGAACCCTACCGAAGAAGCAGAATCCTTAGGGTAGGGTTTAGGGTTTAGGGTTGAGGGTTTAGAGGGTTTAGGGTCTTGGTATGAGGATAGAACAAAGGCACCCCCGGATTAAGCCCGTCATCAATCTGAGACCACCTTCCAACTGAATCAAAATGTGTCAAAAGTATCATACACTTTCCAGCTTTACTATAACCTCCACTGACAGCGATGGTACAGACTATCGGATCAACCATGCTGCCTCTATAAACGGCACTATACACAACATCGTAGAACCCTAAACCCTAAACCCTAAAATAGACAAACTAACTTTGGGAGCCTTGACTTGAGACAGCACCTCCTGGATCTCCGCGGGCCTGGGCTCGGCGCGCTTCGGAATGCGAAGGTGATTACTGCATGTTACACAACTAATCATCATCATTGTTGTTTTGTATATTGCTATCCTTATCATTGTTACTACATGTTACACAACGATTCATCATCATTGCTATTTGTATATTGCTATCCTTATCGTTGTTAGTGTTGTTTCGCCTGCTCAGGGCACCTAGAGCCACACAAACTCTAGAAAGTATTCAGGGTTTGGGTGCCTGAAACCAGACTCCAAAGCCCCGTAAACATAGCCTACACCTTCCACCAAAATAATACCCAAAGTCCCTCAACCCTAATACCCTAACACCTGAATGCCGCAAGCAACCAAACCTCAGACCCAACAGCAAGTTTCAACTTGAAAATGGGCGTTTGAGGATAAAGCACGACGCGCAGCAGGAATTTCAGGCGCAAAGCTGTGATCTGTTTGTGATGATTGTTGTGCTAGTTGCTACAGTAGTACCCCTCGAAGCATGAACACAACGTGCTCAGCTACAGCAACTTGCAGCAAACGGCCCAGTTCTTCGGACCCTGTCGTTGTCGGGTGAAACTATGACATAGCTCTGTCAACAAGCGCATTTGTGCATTGGGAGCCCCTTCACCTTTGAGTGCTGAGACACGCACCACGGTTTTCGGCAACCACTTTTGTTCTCTGACTTCTCTGGTACTGGTTCACTCACGCTCTGCTCCGTCTGCCGTTCCCAGACAAGCCAGTGCAGAAATTGTTTTAGGCTCCTCTACTACAGGTGCTATGGACAGAATCCTTGAGGTCTTCCAAGCTGTGGCGGTCCACTTCGTTGCGGGTCAGGTTTTAGGTTAAGTTTAGGGAACAACGGCCCGGGGTTTAGGGTGCAGGGTTTAGGGCACTGGTGTCTAGAATCTAGAATTTAGAGTGCAGGGTTAAGGGCTTTGGGTTTTTGAAGAGGTTGGCAATCGCTGCATCTTCGGTTGCACAGAAACTGTGCTCCCTGCAGATGCCGCCACCACCTTGGCAGAGCCAACTTGCGTCGAGTCTAACTACAAGATGCAGCGTGCACGCGAGGAGATCCTTCCACCCAACAAGCTTCCGGCGGGTGGATGTAGTGTCGAATCTCTGATGATGCGGTGTAGAAGGCTGTCAGAAGCCTCGGCTGCACAGCAGGGTCCCCAAAACGGAACAACACAAGATAAGGGCCGTCCATGGGGATTCGATCTCTCGCACAAAGGCCCAAGCGTGCTAATGCGCTTGTCGGCCTCTGCCTTGGTCTTCCTGCAGGACAGGCCCTTGAATCTCTCATGAGTTCGACTCGGACCTCTGCTATACCGTTATGCCACAGCTTGGCGTCCTCATTGTGACGACCTTATGGTACTCGGAGTGCCGGCGCCAGTTTCGCTGAATCCTGGGCAAGCACGCAAGGAACCGCACAGCCCATGCCTTCCAGAGGCCGAGGTCCCCACAAAACAGCTGCGGAGCCCTCCAGCTTTGACCGGATCAGCTCCAGAAACCGCTGCCTGAGGGAAACGAAGAACTCCACCAGAGCGGAGCCACCGAGGACACGAACACATGCACACAGAGAGACGACTCCGAATGGAGGCAAGAACCATAGCTTGAGGTACCGCTCCGATGCCCGAGGGTGCGGTAGGAACAGGTGAGGGTAGCAACGGCTGTCACATGCTGTCACTGGGTCTTGCCGGTGCTTAGAGGGTTTCCTTTTAGCGTGAGCATGCCTGCCAGATTGCGATCATCCTGCACCGCTTGTCGAGCCAGCTCATGCCCGAACCGCGAATGTAGGGCTCATACCGCACAGTCTCCATCCTGTCGTAAAGGATGACCTTGACATCTAACCTGCAACAAAGGCGAAGAAGCACAGCACCGTCAACAGCTGTCACACAGTTAGGGATGTTGCTGCGACTGGAATCTTCGCCAATTCCGCTGCAACATGATGACCTCGGCCGCAGGAATGCAACATGCTCTGCAGAGGAGCGTGACTCTGCTCACGTTACCTCTGCTTTCCGTCTCGGATTCAAGCAGAGTTCAATCTCCTCGCCGTCATCTTGCGTGCCTACCCAGCTGCGGGCTCTTCCAACAGGCCACAACTAAGCTACCGGCAGCAGCACAAGATGCACGCAAAACTCTGAACAAAAGACTGCGGATCAACAGTCTGGCCAGAAGCGGTAAGAATGGCAGCAAGAGGAAAATCAGCGTCTTCATAGGTTGGACGCAGATTCAAGGACTAAAACATGCAGCCAGCCAGACATGATCCTCGTCATCAGCATAAGCAGTTCCGGCACAAGCAATGTAGTGATTGATATCCGAGGTGGCATGTTTGCTTTAATTATAAATGTACGTTTGTGCAACCGTAGCATAATATACCACGACAACAACTGTGTCACGTTGAAAGACGTGTAAGATTTACACGAACACTTTAACACGTTGAAAAGGCGTCAGCCTGAGCTGGTTTCATGCAATATCACAGAGGTAACAACATGCAGCCAGATGTAGCAAAAAAGTGAACCTGCGCCATGCGACTGGCAAGAGGCCTCGTACCCTCGCCAATGGGCTTGCACCTGACTCCATGTCTGTTATGATCGCTGTGGGGCAAGCAGGTGCCAGCCATCACAAGGCAAAACCCAAGGAAGCAAGACAGTTCGTGAATAAGTACGATAAACGGTGCGGCAGGACGTGAAGAAACAAGAAGAGCTGCACCGAGGCTTGATGGAAACAGAATGAGCCCTTTGGCGCAAAAACTGGCTTGACAGGGAAATGCCACCTGCGGAAAACAAGATAGTCTAAGATACGATGACATGAAGAAGATTGAGACGAGATGTGATGCAAAGCTGAAACGGCTAAAGACAACAGGGTTCATAGTCACCAAGGCGGCTACAAGCCTGCAAGGGCAGGGGATCTGCGGCCACAACAAGAAAACAGCTACAGAGAGCTACACTACCTGAAGGCGTGGTAGAACAAGTACATACAAACCGGGACTGCGAGATAAGTTAGCTGCCATAGACTCTTCACTTCTTGTGGAAACAATCCCGTCGTCAAGCCGCCGATGACATGTCCACGAGGTTCCTCCATCGCGGAGGCTTAAAGACCCCAGTTCCGAAACCCGCATCTAAAATCTGGAGTCATGTCGTGAAGCGAACTCCAACTCCCCAACCTGCGCCAAAACAGGTCCAAACCTCGACGCCTTGAACCCCAACCCTTGACCCAAAATCTCCCAAATTCAAGCCCCCTCAAAAAAAAAAAGATGCAAACCTGGGAGAGGCACGTAGGCAGCTGCACGATTCTTGTCTCGCCCCGCGTCTCGCAGAGCGACTCCACGAGCCATAGCTGCGCAGAGGAGGGCGCTGGCGAGGCTGAGCTCGGCTCGGGCGGGGTGGGGGCAGCTACCGGCATTGTCGCATAATGTACACCATTTTGCATAAAAATCACTATCTCACTATCTACCTATCTATATAGATAGTTGTATATGAATGTATGTATATATATATATATATATACATACACACATCCACACGCATTTTTGCACACAATATCGAGACATGAAAGTGTATGTACGTGCGCATGTGTAGATACATGTACGAAGATGCGTGTAGAGAAACACATAACAAGATGTGTATGTACATACAAATACATGTACGTGCATATATGAATCATAAAACAGATTCAGATACATAAACAAATACCTGAAGACCGCAGTCATTGTTGAGTCGCGGGCTTGGAGTGTGGCTTAAGTAGGGGTATCCCACGCCATGCCGACTTCAGGCTTCTCAGATCAAGACAGTGGCCTTTGGTCACCCTTGCAGCTTTGATCAAGGCTTTGGGATCCAAACCTCGAGGCTCTGGAGGCTTTCCTTGTAGTACTCGAGAGGCCAGAGCTTCAGAGGGGGGAAAACCCACAGAGCTTCAGAAGTAGTAAAACACCACCAACCCCTGCACCTGTCCGAACTTGCAAACGATGAAACTCCGAAGCCGCCCTCCAAGGGGCCCTTCCGAGCCCCAGCCTTGGAGCTTCGAGGCCGCCTGCAAAGGGAGAGGGAGAGATAGGAAGAGGGAGGGCCCTATGACCATGCAGGCAAATCCAGCGCTCCCCTGCCAGACTCCGGGCCTCGTTCATCTCCCGCATCGGCCTACGGCCATAAAGCCTGCCGCGATAGTATCGCTGAATGGTCCTCAGGCGGCGTGAACGTCTCAGCTCTCTGTGCCGAACCCGGGTTCTCGGTGCAACGAAATCCCTGTGGCTCAGCGCTTTGAGGCGTTGACAGGCCGGCCTTCACCAGAACTTGATGTCGGCGCCTCGCTGCGTTTTTCCACAGCTCGTTCAGCACACCACAGTGCTCTCACTGCAGAAAGCTCCCGGTCACTTAGGCTGTCACCGGGTGAGCGTGCCCTTCCACTTTGCTTGAAAGCGAGTGATGTCCCTCATCCTGAGATCGCCGCTGCACTCCTTTCGACCCCATCTATTGCCACATCGCAAAGACTGAGCCGGCCGCGTTCGGTAATGGTCACAGCGAACCATGTAACCTCGCCACACTGCTTGGAACCGGGTCACCTGACGGATGCAGGCGCTTGCTCCTCCTAGCGAAATATCAAATCAACGCAGGCCTGCTGCAAGAACGCAGCGTCTAGATTCTAGATTCTAGCAGATGGCCGAAGCTGATTTCAGATCGAACTCTTCAACGATCAACGGGCTCATTCACATAACAGCAGAAGCGTGCTTACACAAGACGGTGTTGTAACAACTATAGTCTGTAGGTTGTGTGGGTATCCACGCTAAGCCCACCACATAACCGAACATCCCTGAATCCTGCAATCTTAACACGCGGAAGCTCAGGGACAGACTCGGTGGAGCATCTTGGACTGCCTCTCGTTGGCCTGGTAGCGCATGTACCAGCCTCGGAGTCAAAATTGTGCAGTAAGTAATGCTACTAAACTACTCTATGCAATAGGGCTTCATTACAGTGTATACTACTAGGTTATATGATGTGATGTGCTATTGTATAATACCATGATGTATGTATGTATGTATGTATATATATATATATAGATATGTAAAGTATAACCTTAAAACGAATGAGCGAACAGCTCATCTTTAGCTTCCAGAGCTCTGTCCATTTCATCTGATTCTCCGTCCTGTAGAAACTTTAGGATACATGTTGGCGTCTATAGTACGTACATGTAAGTAGTCGGCATAAGATGGCACATATTCTGCAATGCTTGTGGTTCCGAGCATCATGCCTTTGAGGAGCTGCAGGTTTCGTGCTGTGTCCGTCTTGGCCTTTCGCACGTCCCACCTCGCAACAAAGCGGAAGAAACGGCAGCCGTCTGACATTCGCCGGCCACGGCCCGGGCATCCGCTTGCTCTTCTGGATGATCTTGGCAGCCTGTTGCAGAACAAAGCTGTGTTAGCACCCCGATGCTATGACAGCAGGTCTCTGCGCGTGAGCGATGCCTTCAGCTCTTGCTTGATGCGCTTCCGAGTGATGACACCACGGATGTTCTTCTGCAGCAATGCGATGGCTTTCTGTTCGTGCGCCTTCGACCTGAGGTTCTCAAAGGCTGAGATCTAGTCATGCTCGTACTGCCGTCTCCGCCCTGTTCTGGACCACACTACTCCAAGGCAAGCACATAATGTGCGAAGGGTCGTCTGCGATCACATCGTTGCGGAAGTTGTAGTAGTAGCCTCGCCGCACACATCCGCACGCCAAGCTCTCCACGACAGCTAAACTCCGAACCCGCAACAGTAAGGACCTATCTTCAGCAGGCCTTCAGCAGTGGGCGCAAGTCGCGGTGGCTTCAAACCTCACCAGGCCATGTGTTCTGTGGCATGGCACGGTGTTGCATCGCGTTTTAGTGTCCATCCTTCCCGCTACAGCGTATGGCATTGTCAACGGACAATTCAAGCAAGATGTGATACTATGTCACTATGTGGTACATGACAGATCACTGAGACCGACAGGTACGTGTTCATCGGAAACCACGTTCATGGCGGCGGAAATCACGGACACATGTTGTAATCGGACGTGTGCGGATGTGTACAAAAGAACCCATCAGCCTCCTCCCGTCTTCCGTCACTCACAGATATCACCAGGTATCTCCCAACCCGCAAAGACGCAAATGCAATGTCTGAAATGGCTGAGATCAGCACGCTTCAGAAACCAGTGCTTCTCCGGAGCTTGCAACAAGGCTGCCTCGAAGGTGTCGGCCTGCAAAAACAAGAGCAAAGCACGATTTGCTCACAGCGAAAAAAAAAACATACCGCCCAAAGCTCTGAGTGCACCGCATGGAAAAACAGCCAGGTGTCTCCACTTCTGGAGCCGTTCCGGTCGGACCTGCCCCAATACTGCATGCATTGCATGAACTCTGTGGTTTATCGTGCTCCAGTCACTAAGCAAAGGGAATTCGAGGTGTTGCTTCGGCCAAGGGGCTGGTTGTCCCGTGCCAGGAAGCGGCGGCGCATGGAGAAGCCGACGTTCAGCAGCGGCAAGTGGTCGTGCATTCGGGCGGCCTGTGCAGCAGCCGACATGTCCAACAGGCTGTAGATGCCCACGAGACTCAGAGATCAAGGTACCTCGGATGCCGTCAGATATCTGCAGCCCGGGATGGGAGACGGCCAGTGCTTCTTTCCACGTGCCGTCCTGCGGAGGATGCCGGTTCCGTGCCCCACATAGACGAAGCTCGGTGAGCTCAGGTCCCAACTTGTGCGTTGAAAGGAAGCAAGTGGCGCAGAAGTAGTCTGTACCTTTGGCCACGTCGCACACTGTGCGACCAGGACATACTTGTACCAGGAGCAACAAGTTTTCGATCAGGCTCAGGTCACACTGCTGGCACCAGACGATTGCATCTGGAATGCCGCACCTGCCGTGCTTGTGGAATGGCGTCTGATGGCTGATCACGAGGCCAACCAATAGACGAAGCACTCGGCGACTGTTGAGACTAAGAACTGTTTAAACATGACCGGCGGAACTCGCTGCATTTCATCTGCACAAACCCACGATACCTGAGCCCAACAAGCTGTGGCTCGATGGGCTCGCATGGCTCGCTACGTGAGCTTCGGCTGCGAAACCGAAGGTATCCAAGCTCCAGACTCCCAGAGGAACTCGTTCTGTCGAGTGTCCTGTTCTACCAGGCAGGGCCAACAGCAACTGCATCTCTTCTACTTGGGGCTCGTCCTCGAGATGCTCACGGAACCGCCTGCAAACAATGACCCGATGACTGCAAGCCTCCTCCTTACTTGGACCGAAGTCCGCATCTACGTGACCGGTCATCCAGTGAACAATGCTGCACGGCCTGATCATCGGGTGCACGATCTGCATACGATCCGTGGGCAGATGGACGTAGAAGCGAGTGTCTTGCTTCACAATCACCTGCTCGGGCTCGTTCCACAGCATGCATACATCGAGTGGATCGCCAAGCTTATTGCTCCCATTATTATGGCACCGAGCAGGCAGCCTCCCATTCGGGAGCCAGAGAATAGCGAAGCGCAAACCTGCAAAGATCATAAGGCAACTTGACACCTTCGAGTACTGTGCCGGGCACTTTGTTCGATGCTCGTTCGCTCTTGTGTGTCACAGGAAGCAGCTCAGTAGCCGACATGCAATACCAATACAGATCCGGATGCGGCCGCACACCCAGCTGCGCTGCCATATCCTTCACCATCTTCGGCGTGATCTGACACCTGCCAACCGAAAAAAAGGCACGTCCAGGTGCTGTTGATGCCTCTGCTAAAGCTGAGTTCGCAACTGCTTCATGTTGTCCGGGACACCGCGGGTGCGTAGAAAGACGCGCATGGCGCTGAGGCCTTTCAGCTTGAACTGCCTCAGGAATCCCGGCAGGCTGAGATAAGCCCGCAAGTGCCACGATCCGCCAGCAGATTGATAGACAATGACACAACCATAGATGTAAAAAACTTCTATCTGTTGCTCTCGGAGGCTTCGATGTACCAGCACACACAGCCTAAGCTCGCGGCTTGATCTGCGCATCCAATACATCCGGACCTGAGTTGCCTGGCATGGCCGCATCGGGCATCGGCATCCGAACGGTGATGCTTACAAAATCCGTGCTGCACGGCTTTGCAGGAAGCATCCGCAAGCATCACAGCCGTTCCAGCGCACGGCACGGGAACTCAAAGGAATGCGCCTTTCTGCTGTCGGTTGATGTCCTCTGGCAGGGCCAGGGTCTCCTGGTCTTCCCGCAGACCTCAAGCCAGGCACCGGTCAACGAAACATCGGGAAGCCTCCTCCCACAAGGGCCTCAGCCTGCAAAGAGTCGCCCTAAAGCGCATGCGATTTTTTTGAGGTGCCAGCCATAGTCGAGCATCTCGTCCTTGGACAGGACGGACTTGGACCCAGCCTTGCAAGTGCCGACACCGGAAGCAGAAACCTACCACGCCGCACCACGCCACGCCCTGCACGGAGGGCGCTGGCCTCTGTGGCTTTGTCAGGCCCTTCTTCCTGACAAGCAGCTGGCTGTCGGTTCTAGGTTTTTGAGGCCGCTCTGAGGACAGCAGCCTGTTAGAATGGGTGATGCGGGTAGGGCACTATGCCACAATTCAAAAAAAGATGAGCTGGAGAACAACGAATTCGACACTTGTTTATGGCACGTCTTTTAGTGTCTGTCCTCCTCGTCCTCAACATCTGAGAGGGTGTCCTTGTGGATGTCAATATACCTCAAGCCACCACATTGCTAGACTTCAGAACAAGCCGCAATGTAGCTGTGGATTATGCGATAGCCTTCTTTTTGACGCCAAACAGCTGGGACTCAGGGAAGCTATGGGTAGCTGAGCTCCCATTCGTGCCGAGGCCGAGGGACTCTCCGAGTTTTCTTCATGTCCTACACTGGCTTCCTCATGGGCCCCTCTGCATCGACGAAACAGGCGAAACTGGAACCAATGTTCGAAACTCCAATCCTGCTCTGCGGCGAAGGTTCCAACGAAACAGCGCGGGGTGGGAGGCCGTCGCAGGAAAGTGTCGCAAGTCTTTTGGAAGCTAGTCTATTCCGTCCGCTTGCCCTCCCCCCCAAACAAGGATCTGAGAAAGAAGAAGGGAAAATCCAGCAAACTGGAGGGATTTCTCCTACTCGGCGCGTCAACCGAGCCAGACCCAGAACGTGGTGTCCAGATTCTCACTGAGGAACACCTAGAGAACAGATGGTATCTTATGGAACTCACACACTGGCTTATGTGCGCTCCTGTGCAGCCACATGACGCCCCTTGCTGGCCTTCAAAAGGAAAGGGGCATCGGTGCGCAGGTAAGCCGGCTACGCATACATGTTGTGGAGGTCACGTTTTCAACGCAGCTCCAAAAAAGATTACAGAGAGGATCAAACGCGATGCCAAGGAAACAGAGGCATGCGCAAATCAGACCAGATGGACCACTGCTGTCCCACGATGATTCCGGGAGACAACCAAAGCCCAGACTGGAAAGTGGCTGCAAGAGCAACCGCCTGCACCGAGGACATGCCACGTCTCTGCCTTCAGCTCACCGTAAGCGGCCTTGCCTTTGCAAGAGCCGGGCAAGTACAGAGCTGTCTTGCCCTCTCAGTCTCAGCGAAGGGAAGGCAGCCGTGGCGACTGAAGCAGGATTTGAAGCTCCTCCCTCCTCTGGCGAGACTCGCAGGAGGCTTCGGAGTCCCACAGCAGGTCTTTGGGCACCTCGTTCCGGACATCGAAGACGGAGATGTCGGAGACTCGGAAGGTGCGCTTCGGCTCCAGCTTGGGGATACACCCCAAGACCTCGCCGAGGCTGCTTGCCATCACCACCTTCGTGCGCCTGCGCAGGTCGCAAGAGCTTGAGAAGGAAACCCTTGCAACGCCCCCGAGAGAGAGAGAGAGAGACAGAGAGAGAGAGAGAGAGAGAGAGAGAGGGAGAGGGAGAGAGAGAGAGACAGAGTGTGGTCAGTGAGTCCCGGCCTGGGGCGAGGCTTCGCAGCCTTGCCAGGAGGCGGCTGCGGCCGGGTAAAGCCAGTGCCGCAAGACTGCTTGGGCTCCGCGGGCTCCGTGGGTTCTGCGGGCTCGGAGAGTCCCTTCGAAGCCTCCTCCATGCTCTTCAGGACCTCCAGGCTTTCTGAAACGTCGCTCCGATCTCCATCAGAGCTCTCATCCAGCATCCTCTGGGTGTGCTTCTTCAGCACTCCGTGGATATCCGACAAAAGGCTGCCACAGTCAGTGTCGCTGCCCAGGGTCAAGTTGAAGGTCGCCGTCTCGCCCTTCACCGACACAGCCAACGAGACCTTCGAGACCCACAGAAGCAAAATCAGGAGCTTGAGAAAACATGCAATGAAAGGCGAGTGCACTCGCATGCACTACGGCTACTTCCTCGCGCCTGCATCTTGGCCACAGTCTTGGACCCAGTCAAGATACGATTAGCGAAACTAAAAGCGTCACTGAGCCGAAACTGAAGAACAAGCCAGATCGGTGCGCTGGACGGCAACATGGGCACATACGGGCACATTGGCATGTCAATGCCGGAGGCCCAAGATCCAGGCTGCTGTATGAACGCAGGGATCTTTCCGAGCGAAAGTGCCTCACGTCACTTGGGCGGTCTCTGAATGCTCCCTTTAGCCACATGCCATCCGACTCCCTGATTCGCAGGAAGTTGCAAAGGCCTGAAATGTGCTTTCGGGGAAACAGCGCAGACGGAGGGTGTAGAGAAAATCCACATCCTGCAACCGGCGAATGGGAACCACTTGTCAAAGCACGCACAAACCACCGACCTTTGCGCATACGGAAGGCCCGACACCGAAGTGTCCGACAAGTCAAGTCAGAGCAGATATTGGAAGAGCAGCTGCAAAAAACGCAGTCCTCCATCTCTGTCACGCTGTCCATGCTCTTTCTGGCACACCAGCCATGGAACGGATCGATCCTCGCCGTCACAGCACGCGTTTGAACTTAAGCGCTTGGGAGGCCCTGGACTCCGGGTCGGCTTGAGGCCAGGGCGGCTCACCCGGGTTGGGCGTCACGATCTTGGAGGAGTCTGGAAACCCCCAGGCGAACGGGTGGTACATCTGGACCTGGCAACTGTGCAGAGGGAGCATGGGCATCAAGACCAAGCAGCCGCACACATGTCGATGTGATATGGCACAGCTTCCCGTCGCCGATCACTCGCAACTGCCCTGTGGTCTTCCAGATGCGTAAATGCATACCCAGCGGGAATATTTTTTTAACTTCCACGGGACGTCGAGACGAAGGCCCTGCATCTCTAACTGAAGCGCACAGTCTTGCCAGAGCGGCATCCACGAAGTCGATCCTCTGGTAGTAGATGCTCTCCAGCTCTCGCTGAAGCTCAAACCACAGAATGCCATTGGAGTCCTCACACGCACTGACGCATTGGGCATTCGCTTCAGAGAGTCGGAGGACTCAGGCAAGCATCTCCTTGACGTGCATGCGCAGAAACTGCTCTCGTTCCTGCGCGAACCAGAAGTGTCAGAAGTGGCTAAATTGCTCAAGTAGTATCTTTTGTCGTCGCAATAGTGCTTCTGCTGACATCGCTGCTGCTGCCGCTGCTGTCGCTGCTGCTGCTGTCGCTGCTGCCGCTGCCGGTAGCTGTAGCTGTAGCTGTAGCTGTAGCTGTAGCTGTAGCTGTAGCTGTAGCTGTAGTCGTAGTCGTAGTCGTAGTCGTAGTCGCAGTCGCAGTCGCAGTCGGAGTAG